TTAGTATTAAACACCTTTTTCGTCATCTGAATATGAATGTTCACTTCATGCCTATCTTCAATCACCTCATAGAGGGGAGCCTGAGCACCCTCCACGGTAGGTAGAGCCTGAGAGGATAGTATGTTCATTCCAGTAAAAGAAGGGACAGTGACCGCGTCCTACCTTCTAGGGGCAACCACCTGACTCTTCTCCAACAATCGACCCTTATAAACATTTTCCGAAACAATATTAGTAGACAAACCATTTTGCACCGTATCCGCCGTGGGCATAGCAGTAGGTATCACAGACAGTGAGGAAGAGGGTATAACCTCCGCAGAAATGTGTTGAGAAACAGGAGGTGGGACTACAGCCGACCGTAGATGGGGAAGATGAAGAGCTATGACCAAACTTTCTGCAGTGAGAGCAGTAATGGGGATGAGGTCCCATCGCAATCTTCTGCCAATAACCCTGATGAGGGGAGCCAATCAAAATCTCTCCTGGAAAGGGTTGAGTGATGTCGCGCTCTACAAGCACACAAGCTTCAGATGGCCTGGATGTATAAAGCGTGGGAGTATCGACCTTCTGCGGTTTCCCAAAGGCAGTTACTAATGTATAAAGGGTTTCATAATAGATGCACCTTGAGCCCTGGAAAATTAACCCAAATCGGGATAATAGGAGGTACTAATTTAGGGTCAAAATCCACTGTCCATCTCAGAATTTTCAAAAAGCAATTATCGATTTTGAGAACTTTTTGAGCAAAGGGTTGGGTATAATCTGCGTTATTTGAGAGTTGAATGAGAACATGACGGCCATCTAGCGAACCAACTTTCCAACTCTCTGTGAGCATAAGAGAATTGAAATGCTTTCTACAATTGAAATGTTTTCTATTAATCTCAAGCTTGGGATTTCCATACGAAATTTACCAACAAGAGTATATCTACATGCTGAAGCCAATATACTTGTTTCCTCATCAGTGAGAAACAAAGCGGGACTACCATTCTTTTTTCCCAATTTTTTAATGAAGGTATAACTACCTCCAGATTCATGTGCATCATGAAATTCTTAAGGGAAGAAACAGTAACGACCGCCTGCTCTGGGAGTAGAACCTCCGGAGACAGCCGCGGCCTATCTCGGGGCCATTCCCCCAAATCGGAACAAAAACCCCACACGCGTACACTGGAGCTGGATTTACGACGAAGGGAACCCAAATCTCGAACAGAAACAGGGAAACGTCTGCGGTCTGGCGAGCAGGAGCGAAGCCCTTTGTAGTCGTGAACGAATACCGAAGGACGCGAGCAAGCTCGTCGTCTGGCAGGAAAGAGACGACTTGTGAGCAGAACGAAGGCGACAAGCCCTTCATTGTCGGGTACGATAAAGCCGAAAGCCGCAAAATCTTCGTCGTTGGAGACGACGATGCCCATGGAGGAAGCCGATAGTTTCAATCGCCATCTCGAATCTCTAAAGCAGCCCGACGCCGTCTCCATCGGCCGTATATATATATAGAAAAAGCCCGAGGGCAAGTATATTAGTACGGAAAAGATATAAAAATGTTGTATGAGAGGACCTAAAAGAAAGCCCAACTCATACAATACAACACACACAAAACCTAGTTAAAGCAAAGATACATCAACAACAACAACAGCAACAACAAAGCCTTAATCCCACTACGTGGGGTCGGCTACATGAATCCTTTTTCTCCATTGCGTCCTATTTAGTGTCATATTTGCATTTAGTTCTAGTAAATTAAGATCATTTTTAATACAATAAGCCCAAGTCTTCCTAGGTCTACCTCTGCCTTTCTTAACACAAGTCGAATTTAAAACATCTACTCTCCTAATCGGATCATCTAATGGTCGACGTTTAATATGACCCCACTCATCCACCTAATCATTCTCATCTCGGCAACACTTAACTTATTATTATGCTTCTCTTTTAAAGGCCAACATTCAGCGCCATAGAGCATTGCAGGTCTCACCACCATCTTATAAAATTTTCCTTTCAGTCTTAGCGGTACTTTTCTATCACACAAAAGGCCCGAAGCATTCCTCCACTTCAACCAACCAACTTGAATTCTACTATTAACATCCCCATCTATATCACCATCGCTTTGGACAACGGACCCAAGATATCTAAATCGTTCACACCTTTTAATAATTTGATCACCCAAAGTCACACTTTTGTCACTAGAGCTATTACTAAAATTAATAAGGTGAGCTATTTCAAGCTTTTCTATCACAGAAAAAGCAAAGATACATAAATGTAAAAAAATTAAAAAAGCCACAAAATAGCACAAAAGTGCTAGAAACGTCTCACTTTAGTCCTCCTGCCTCTAATTCTCGGAAGTGAACCGACTAACATATTATTAAGGTGAGTATCATTGCCCGTAGTAACCAAAGTATCATCCATCAGATTTTTGAGCTCAAGTAGATCTTCATTCTTTTTCTTCCTCCTAGATGTGTAAACTTGTCATTCCTCATCCGATAATTGACTCATCTGATCGGTGTGGTCAACGGATTGTTGTAAAGTGTTCGGACAGGTGTAGGTCGTTGCACGTCTTGATCCCCATGAGCCTGAGTAATATTAATATTTTTTTGGACCTGATGAGGCGGTAGTGAAGCAGTAGAAGTATTTCCACCTGTATTATCAGTGATAGGTTCCAGGGCAGGCGGGGTCCGAAGAAACTCCCTCTCCCCCACGATAGGAGGTTCCAAAGACAAGGGAGCTAGAACTGGGGACTGAATAGTTGTCATATTGCCTGCGGGGATAGTGACGTCGCCCGGGATATTCTTCTGATGATCAATAGTGTCAAAAACTAGGAGCTGATTAGGATGAGATGAAATCACAGCCTCTAGCGGAGCAGTTTGCTTTTTTGGTCTGAGTTGGGGGTGTAGATGGTGACATTGAGAATTGGAGTGTCCGAACATACTGCATTTCGAACAATACGACGGAAAATGTTCAATCTCTACCTTGTGTCAATATTCATGGTATTGTGTGCCCAACTAGATTTCTTCAGAAGCGGGTAAAGTGATGTCTCTTTTAACAAGTACTCTGGCTTCAGAAGAATGGGATAGATTAAAAGTAGGAATGTCCGTCTTGAGTGACTTCCCATAAGCTGAGGCAATATAGTTCAATACTTTTTGAGAAAAATAATGAAATTTCAGACCAGGGAGACGAATCCAAACCAGAATGATTGACGGTTCCGTCTGTGAGTCAAAATCCACAGACCATTTCAGAATTTTCATTATTCTGTTATCAATCCATATTGTCCTTCTAGCAAATAAGCGCTTGTAATCTTCTTCATTACTAATTTGAATAAGAATGTGTCTCCCATCTAATAGTCCAATTTTTCATTCTTCAACAAAGTGCATAAATTCAAAGTCTCTGTGAATGAGCTCTATTTTGGGATGACCATATAGAAATTTCCCAACTAAATTCAGACGACAGGAGGAAGCAAGTTGAATACTTTCAGCTTCTGTAAAAAAGATGACAGACTTCTCATTCTTCCTACTAGGCTTCTTGATGTACTCTGCCCACAAAAACGAAGGAGGGAAAGATGACGATTTTGGTGTGCCTGAGGCGTAGGCACTGGCAAGGGCAGCTGCATACGATTTGTCTGAAGTCATCCTCAAAGATAGGTGCGACGTTCAGAGAAGAAAAAGAAAGCAGACGAGGGAAAAAATCGAATAGCCGAAGCTAAGAAAGGGGAGGACGCTGTGAGACGGGACGAGTGCAGAGAACGCAAAAATCGCGAGTAGTACCCGCGAGATTGAGCCACAAAACGCGTGAGTTGTACCCGAGCTAGGGAAGCTCGCGAGATCGGGAGACAGGAGCCGAGCCTTGTCTCAGAGCCGGAAAAAGAACCGACCACGAAAAGGCTGAGAGGAATCAGCGAAGCCGAAGCCGTAACTGTTGCTAGGGTTCGCCATTGGGCGAAACCCTAGCAGAGCCGAGCGAGGAAGACGACGCCATGACTGTCTGTGGAGTAGCTTCTCTGAAGGTCGTAAGTCCCTTCAGGTACATAAATGCAAATATGTTAAAGAGCAATACTTTATAAAATAAAAGTTTGATTATAGTTTAATATTTTTGTTGTTTATAACCACATGTGAATAACTTGCTGATATCCTCATAAACGTGGAATGGATGATGTCCATTTATTCAACCGTGTCATTTCTGCCGAATGGGACCCGTACTTGTAAAGTCTTATGCCCTGTTTTTTTTTTAATCTTCTAGTGTAACCATATTGATCCGCTGGATTCCTACTTGGCTACTTATTAATCACTGGACTGCTGTAATTTTGTGAACTTGTCAATTTGTGAATTGTTTTTCTCTGATTTTGTATGTTTCCTATTAGAAGATTCCCTAAGATCATATAAACTACATATACATTGGAATAAAATATAGAATTAATTCTCTCCAATTGTTATCATTTGTATGTTCTCCACTTTTAGGCTGGGGATAGGATTTCAGTCCATGGAATGAAGTTAATTCCTTAGAAAATGGACTACTCTTTTGCTTACTACCTATCCGTCTTATGGTAACTGATTGGCATCAGAACAAAGGAACCTAGCTAGGTGCTTGTGAACTTTACAGAAAGAATCTTTTCAAAGTAGCATGAATTTTTTGATTCTACCTCGGTGGCATCTAGAAATAGTTCAGAAATGATGCGCTCACTATCCTGATTGAGAGGTAGGCATGTAAGGCACATTTTGTGTTTACCATTTGTCCTTGTTACAATTAGTACTGATAATGTTCACTTTAGCATGCCTTTGATTTGTATATCAGTTATTAATATTCTCTTCATCAAGCTGATTTTTGGGTTTTAGCAATTTTTAATTAAACCGTGTGCTGTCACATAATTTTTGCAGCACAAATGTTTCTGATCTGTTGCCTAAGATGAGTTGGTTCTTTTCAGTATGATATGTCTCAGATAGTTTTTTTAATCCTTTTATAATTAATTACATAAGTGATTTCTGATGACAGTTGTAGTTGATAAGTAATTTATTAATGTTTTTTTGCTGCAGTGCAGCTGCTTGGCAATTTACTTTAACTTCTCCTGAAAAGATGATCGGAACGGATGGAAGAGAATTGTATAGTGAAATGAATAAATCTAAGGATGATTTCTGTGTTCTTATTTTTGAACCTCTTCTTGGCTCCGAGTATTGTGTTAGTTTCTTTCCTTCCTTTTTTTTGCTCTTCTACCTGTAAGGATTTAAAGCCTCCCTCTTTTAACTTATTATTCTAGTGCCGGTCTAATTAGCCACAATGTTGCTAAAGAGTTTCTTTGCCTATCTATTTATTTAGGAGATTGAATTTATAAAGGAAGGAAGCTTCACTTTTAAAGAACTTGATGCATTCGTGACCGTGCTAAAGTTGGCTGGTTTAAGAGATGCAAAAAATTCAGTTAGAAAGAATCCTGGCTTATACAACTTCAAGAGCGATAGTAACTATCATGGCAGAAGCACACCTTCACTGGAAAAGTCTATTTCTGCTTTAGAGGCCATGGGGGTGAGAGTGTATGGGGTTGATGAAAATTTTGGAGTTCCCATGGATAACATGGTGTCGTGGGACAACATTGCTGGCTACGATCAGCAAAAACGGTATGCATGTTATTGATTTGAAGAATCTCTCTTTATTTTTTGAGATCTGTCCAAGAGTTTTTAAGCATGTTTTTTGTGGGATAAAATAGAAACTACTTCATTGGTGGCTTTTGTTTTCTTTATGATGATTAATATATGTAATTTTCGAACTGTTGTACATATTGCTCCATGCATTGATCTATTACTAATGCATATTTTCACATTAAATGCTTCGGTTTCTTTTTGCGAACTATAAATTTTTGGACGGATATTGTGATGCAGATGGCTTAAGATTTAGGTTTTTTAAAGCAACTAAAATAAGGCTATATATATCTTTTTTAAAACAAAAATATAAAGCAGATTAATCAAATCTGATAAACCTTTTTCTAGAAGCTACAGAAATTCTCACAAAATTACATACTAGAGCATATTTGCAATCCAAAACGTAGAATGTTAAATCTAAAATACAGCTAGATGCTATGCAAGCCGGCCACTCTTACAATGTGCTGGTAAGTGGATCAAGAAATCTAAGCTGATGAACGAGCTTGTAATCTTCTCCTCTCAAGTTCCAGCACTTTCTTGACCCTTCCATTAGCAGGCAGTGTCCCTCCGCTAACATTTTCAGGGAAATACGGACAGTTCACACAAACATCATCTATCACAACTATGACAGTCTTATCCCAACGTACTGGAAGCGTCTTAGATAATGCATCAAAAATGCTCTGGGCTTCGCTAGTGACACCAACACCAATTCTCTCTGCTTCTATTTCAGCTTGCCTTAAAGCAGCTTCCTCCCTTGCTTGCAATACTGCCAGATCGAGGAAACATTTTTTGCTGTCAAGCGGGTTATCGCCGCATCGCAGGGAAGTGTGATCCTTGATATAGGTCGTTTTAAGAAAACGAATATTCCGGCGCCCGCCTGGCTTCGAAGCTCCCTCCTGAATGAGGACAATGTTGGTAGGGCGGTCATAGGTGATGATCTGCCCCTCAAATTCCTCGCCAAGTGTTGTCATGAAAGAAAAGATGAAGCCCACCCAAGCTCCTCGCCGACGGAGGAGTCCATTGCATCCCTTCTCTACTTCTGCCGTTGAAGATCCCCGAAATCCGCTCATAAGCTGTTGCAGTCAACAAAACGGAGAAATAACGAGCACCGGACGCCCTACTTCCAGAGCCAGGCCGTCAACTATCAAATTCTTGCATTGTTAGATCGGTTGAAATAATGGATATGCTACCTGATTCCAAATGAGGGTTGTTTGGGACAGCTGCAGCTTATTAAAAAGCAGCTGTGAAGCTGTTGGATAATAATCTGATTATCAAAAAGTTGTTCTGGCTGGTACAAAATTTGTTATTTTTTAAAGTTAGAACGCAGCTAGAAAGCTGTCACCGCACCTAGCCAGGAGTGGTGGGAAAACGCAGATTTCAGCGACATCTTTTTGAAAAGACTGTCAAAACGCAGTTTACTCAAACAAACAGTAAGAAAATATCTTCTTAGTTTCTTCAACTTGCAATCTTATCTAAATTTTACTATTGATAAATTCAAATTACCAAAGAAGATGATTATAAAACATTTACAGTTTCCAATTAGATACTATGGGTGGAATGTCCTGTCATCCATCTTTAAATATGCTCCAAGAGATTCTTATGTTTATGAAAGCTGGATTCTTTCTATTTTAAAAACCATGATATCGGAAGTCTACCACCTTTTTTCTCCCCTTCCCTCTCTATGTACTTTTATGTTTATGAAAGCTGAATTCTTTGCAGCATGATATATTTGCTTAAGTAACCTTTTCTCCAGGAATTGCTTTTTGATTTACCTTCCCCTTACAACTGTTTGAACTTGTGAATTTCTTTGCTAGGAAGAATGCATCAAGGAAAACTGCTTTTGCAATTGCTCTCATCTGATCTATTTGTGTATTATTGAATCGTGAATCTCTTTATTTGCATTAATGTTTCACATTTAGAGTCTTATTTACATTCCTTGAAAGTAATATTTATTATATTCCGACAGAAGAAATTCATGAACTTGATTAAATGTTCTTTAGAGAAATAGAAGATACCATACTTTTGGCATTAAAGCGCCCTGAGATCTATGATGAGATTGCTCGTGGTACCCGTTCAAAATTTGAGTCAAATAGACCTCGAGCAGTTCTATTTGAAGGTCCGCCAGGTATGTCACCTGTAGAAAGTAAAAAGAAAAGGTTTTATGATTTGGTGCCATAAAACTACATATATGAGTATGAAATGTATAGATGGATCCAGTCATACTTAGTGTACATTTTGCTTTTAGAATCGTACTTACTGAAAGAAATAACATCTTAAGCTTGTAAACTTAATCATTGCAGATTTTTTGGTTACATCTCAAGCGGTCAACGTAATATTTAGTAAAGATTAGCATAAACTTGCATATGATTTAATAGTCTGCTAACCAGTTTCTTAATTTCCTTGAGAAGTGGAGTTCAGTGCTTGAATAGAATAATTTAAGAGCAAATTATGTCTATTCCTTTGTTTTTTTTTTTTGTTGTTTTGTTCCGTCAGTCCTGTTGATTGCAGTATGCACTATAATTTTTGTCCTAGTCCGATTTAATTATCTATGTTATCGTTAGCCAATTTGCATAGATGTTCTTTGTCATTTATGATCTTTTGAATTATCAAAACCGTCTTGCAACGAACGAATCAAAATAGAATTTTAGCTTCACATGCTGCGGGCAAATCTTTCTTTATAAATCCTAGAATAGCTAGAATACTAAACTGTATGCTTTTGGATTTCAGGGACAGGAAAGACATCTTGTGCTCGAGTAATTGCTAAGGAAGCTGTAAGTAAACTGTTCCTTCTCTATTTGTTTTGTGCTGCAGCATTTAGAAGAAATGATGGTCTTCATATCTTTTATCGCTTATATTTTTATGTTTGAGTTGGTCTGCATACCAAATGACTGTGTTTAGGTATCCGAACTTGATTACTATATTTTTCTTATTTAAATTTAAATCTCTGATTAAAAGTGTATTTTCTGTTGATGAAAATTGCAAAATTAAGGCTGGCACGGCAATTAAGTCAAATCTCTTAAAAGAAATGTAATAGAAACCTGGAGACTCCCATTGTGGTTCAAATTGTTAAAAACAGGTTGACTCCTATCTATTTTCTCTATGGGATTCAAAACACCAATTCATCTTAATGATAGATTTCTAACCTGAAGCCAAATATCCCAGATGGGGTGTCTTTGATGTTCCACTCGGGCTTTGAAAATTTGTGCTTGCTCTGGACTCTCGCAAGAGAATTTTTGTGTGATTTTTGGTCAAATTTCTTTAAGGTAGTTTAGATACAACCTAGAGATTTCATTCTCATTTTGCTTGGGCATTAACATCTAATTTGAAGTTTTTCATGGATTTAAGCACTTGTGATTAATTACCTCTCCCAGTAACGAGAACTCTTAATTAAGACTAGTTATTAGGTGCTATTTGCTTAGAATATAGATTATAACTCTGTCTCATCTCTGATTCTTAATCCTAATCTTACGGTGGGATTAGGATAATCTGCTTGATGTTCCGCATTACTGATCCAACAACAATTGAAGATTGGTTTGTAGTTTCTTGATCTAAACTTGATATATACTAATCATAGTTAGAATGTAGCTCATTCTGATCTCAAATTGAGCTTGGTCCAACTCTTTTATCCTGATTAGCCATAAATTAATTTGATTTCCTTTATCTTGATCTTATATCTTTTATCATATTATTAGTTCTGGATGATTAGATTCATTAATAACTGCATGTATGAGTATAAACACAAATATTTTGGCATCTATATAAATGTATTTTCCCAGAGACACTATCAGATCAAAGAATGGAATTGTTCTCTTAGTAAAGTGCATATTTGATCCTCTTAATTATATAAGAATGAGTGGATGTAGACTAGGGGATATTAATTGATCAAAATTATAAACTTTGGGATGACAAGGAAGGAGGTCCAATGAATATAGCTCTGTATAAAAAATTAGTAGGAATGCTAATTTAGGTTCTATCAGAGCCGCCATAACCCCTTTTCATGAAAATTTTTCTTTCGATTGGTGTTATGACTGTCCATTTCACAAAACTCGATTGCCACCCTTAGCAGAACTCGGAGATGCCATTGCTTTTTTTTTCTTTTGGCATTGAGACGAACTGTATTGTAGAGATTGTCATGTTGAACCATGTGTTCAAGGTCTTCTCATAGGGGGTTGTTGGCTTGCCTCTTTCTCATTAGTGTCAAACCTCTTGTGTTTGTCTCGTAGAGAGCAGTCGTGCTCAATTCTTTCATAAGGTTGCATATCTCAATATATTGTCTAATTAGTCGCTATATTTCTTTTTTCATTGGGCTTGGTCCTATTATCAGGCTTGGTACTTTGGCTGGTTCTTCATCGGTGTCATATCAGATTATTACGTTAAGTGCAAGATGTAATTACCGAAAATAAAATTAAAAAAAAAAGAATTTTAGGGAGTTAGTATCGATTCAAAGTGCCTCGATAGTTTCGTCTTAAAGTGATGATTGTCCTTTCGAAGCAAAGGAAAGAAGCAAACCAGATTGAGAGAACATGAGGGGGAGTCATAGAATGAAGGAAAAGAAGGAGAGGTTAAGGGTAGGCACCTCGTGTGCGGGTAGCAGCGGAACGTCTTTATGAAGTTGAATGACTTCGATTTTCTGGTATAGGTAAGCTGAGTGTAATCAATGAAAACTAAGGTGTTGATCGAGCGGCTCTTTGTGAGAAGGAAAAGGAGGCGAATAGGGTCGTTACTTGCAGAAAGATCGAATTGAAGCCAATCCTACGAGTATCATTCGAATTAAACTAGTGTTTGACTCGACTTGAAATAAAAATTTATTAAAATTTATTAAATCATATAATATAATTTAATTATAAAATTTAACCGTAGCTTGAGTTGTGAGAGGAGTTGAGCTAAGGAGTAAAAATAAATTTGTTAGGGAGAGTTTTATTATTTATAGAGACTGGGCTAAATATGTTCTTAAAATTTTGTGATGTGGAACTAAACCAATTCAACGGCTTTCAATCAAGGGAAAGAAAATGCCAAGTCACAAGTTCTTAATTCTTATGCATTCAAATGCTAAATATTTTTATATTTTTTTTTTATTTAATGGATGGGGGTCATGGTACCCATTGACAACAACAATAGGTTTAGGAAGAGAAGTTTATTTATCATTTTCATACGTACCGCCTCCTTCAAATGTATTTAGATATCCAATAGATTTTTTTTTTATTTGTAATCCTAACTAAAATTATTTAAATTTTAATTAAATTTCATATATTTTTTAAAATATAATATATAAATTTAATACATAAATATTATATTAATTTTAATTAATTCAACCCAAATCGAGTCGAACGCAAACTAACAAATCTTTTATTTAATTAAATCGAGTCAAATTGAGTCGAACATGAACGCACAAACCTTTGTTCTTGTTTGGCTCGTTTATAATAAATCCCTAGACTTCTTTTATTTACAAATAAGACCCTTCATTAGATACAAATCTCAACACTTTCATTCAAGATGGGCAAAGATATCTATTAAGCTCATCTTGTCACATAACCTAGACAAATTTTATGAGCTAAGTCTTTTGGCGAGGCAATCAACCACTTGCTCTCTAGTGACTACATGACTTAGCTCCAATAGTGCTTTATTCAACTTTTCTTTGATGAAAAACATATCAATCTCCACATGTTTGGTTCTATCATGTTGCACCAGGTTGTTGGCAATATTGATTGCTGACTTATTGTCGCACCACAATTTCATTTGAGCTCTTTGGTCCAACTTGAGCTCTACCAACAAGGTTCTCAACATATCATCTTGAAAACTCCTAAGACCATGACCATATACTCTACATCTGTTGTTGACCTTGCTACTATCGATTGTTTCTTGGTCTTCTAAGAGACCAAGTTGCCCCCTACGAACATGCAGTGTCCAAAAGTGGATCTCCTGTCATCGACATAACTCGTTTAGTCAGTCAAAATAGCAATCAATGCCTACATGTCCATTCTTCCTAAAGATCAATCCCTTCCGTGGTGCACACTTCTAAGCTCCTCAAAATTTGATACACTACCTAGCACATACTTCCTCTAAGATAGAATACTCCCCTCTGCTCCATAAGCCGTTTCAATCCCAAGGAAGTATCTAAGTTGTCCTACTTCATCTCAACTCTTCGCCCAATTTCGCCTTCAGTTGTGCAATCTCTCTCATCATTACCAGTGACTATCATATCATCTACATACGTGACAAGCATAGTAATTTGACCACCATATCGTCAAATGAACAGTGTGATCTCGTCATTGATTTGCTGATAGCCTTGTCTACCATTGCTCTCCTGAACTTGTCAAACCAAGCTCAAGGAGAGTGTTTCAAACCATATAGTGACTTCCTCAGCCTACATACCGTGCCCGCTATTTGGTTTATGTTGAATTCTGGGCGTATCTCCATGCATACCCATTCTAGCAGATCTCCACGAAGAAACACATTTTTCATATTCAGTTGGTGTAACCTCTATCTACCATTCACAATTAAAGATACAAGTTTCTTGACTGTGCTCATCTTCACCACTGGTGCAAATGTATCATCACAGTCAATGTCATACGTTTGATTGTACTCTTTCACCACCGATTGTGCTTTGTAGCGATCAGTTTTTTCTTTTGAGGTCCGCTTCACTGTGAAGACCCATTTGCGCTAGACTATCTTTTCCCTGTTGGTGGCAATGCGAGCTCCCACGTCCTGTCTCGAGAGCACCATGTTCTTCTAGCATGACAAACTTCCACTATGGATCTTTTTAGATACCTACTATCATTTGAGTATAGAGACAATGTCCAGAGCTACAATGAATGCTCTATGTGCAGTTGATATATTATAATATGAGAAAAACTGAGCAATATCATATGAGAAACTAAAAAGATCGGTAGAATAACGTTCAAGGAATGACTCGCATTGTTGCGAGAAGTCATTCTTAAAGTCATGGGTGGGAGGAGAATGATGAAAAATCATATCACCTGTGTAATCTGATTCTGAGGTGAATGGTGTAGGTGTCTTAGGAGTCAGAGTAGACTGAGACAAGGGACTTGATAGCACGAGTGACGTTTTTGCCTAATTTTTTCTCCTTATATACACTCAGCTTTTCTTGAGCTTGAATCCCACCGCATTCGAGCTCATTTTCCTCATTTTTGGGCTCTTCCTCAACCGACCCTTCCTACACAATAGGACAAAGCATCATTTCCAAATGTATCAATCTCTCGCCATCATTATTCCTCTCCTCTTGCCTCATACCTCCAGTATGTGGCAAATCACCGAAGGATGAGGTCACCTCCAAGGAGTATTACGATTCGAATTTTCTAGAAGTTACATTCATGATCACAAACAATTTCTTTTCTATTGGGCTCCATCAAACTTACCCTTTTTGCGTAGCAGAATAATCCACGAAAACACACTTCCTAGCTTTGGGATCCTCAAGCACATCAGTTGTTGCTCTCTACTTTCTCTTCAACGTATTCAGTAACTCGTGATCTTTCTTTGTAAAGACCACTCCTATCTTCAGTAACTCGTCCTCCGCTATCATTAGATTTGCCCGGTAGCACCCTCTTCCACCTCTTTGGCCTCCACGGCTATGACCATGACCTCTAGACTGTCCACGTTCACCTTTCTTGCTCTTTTTTTGGGTGGCTTTGAACAAGCCTTGCTAAGATGTCCCACTTCTCCACAGTTGTAGCACCTGCGGGTTTCCCCCTAGGCATCTATTATGCCTGAGCTCAAGGCAGCCAAATTTGATCGAGTATTTGGATGTCCACTTGGCTCAGAGTATAGCCTCATGCGACTTTTCTCTTGTATCATCACGGTGATGGCCTCATCCAGTGAATGTATCGTTGCCTGAGCCAGGAGGACTGATCTCCTCTGATCAGTGGTCTGGTTTAGCTGAGTCAGAAACTGCATAGTCCTCAGCTGTGCAAAGATCTCCCCCTTCTTGCACCCCAGATCACCACAACGCAACATAGGTGAGAAGTGATCAAGATCTTACTACAACCGCTATCATCTGGTACCACTGTCTCTATGACACATTGAATCTGGAACACCCTCATGTGGTTCTTAGTCCCAGCATATGTCTTCTTCAGCTTTGCTCAGATGTCCTTCACCTTTCGAATGCCATCTACAGATGAGGCAATGGATGAAACAATCAAATTGAGTATTCCTCTATAGGGAAAGGTGTGTGTGGTCATCCACTAAATCCCCTCGACACTGTCATTCTTTGGCTTATCCCCCGTCAGACTCTCTAGTCTATTTTCTACTCGAGTAGCCTAGATCTGACGTGGCCAACTCAGATATGTGGTTGGTCCATCAAGCTTCAGATTTATATGTGGCATATTTAGCTCCACCTGCGTCGGAGCATGTGCTGAGGTGGTGACTCTCGTTGAGATACTAGCTCCCTGTATGAGCTCGACCAAGAATTTTAGAATATGATCTATCTTCTCAAAAGCTCCAATCCTTTATCTCCCGTACTATCTCCGTCTCTTGACATCCTCAATCACAAGTCTATATCACACAATCACACGAGAATTTGATCATTCATGTCTGCACGCGACAATCCCTTTGTTACCTTCCCAGTTAGCTTTAATTGCGACCATCCTTCGGATCACACCACAATCCCATCTCCACTTCGCAAGTAAGTCGTGATCCCTACTTCACTCCGTAAGCAGATGGCTTCACTCCTCTTCACATGAAAGAGTGAGAATCTTAGGCTCAGACCCTCCTCCCTGCTTCGTTTCAGAAGCAACAAACCACACTCCCTTTCTTGTGTGAACATGTGAAAATCTCGGGCCACATCCAGGGCTAGCGAGGGAAGCAACAACTAAATCATAGCGCACAGGGACCACCAAAGCTCTCGTCTTTCTCGACTTCCGCTCTGTCCACTGCTCACACTGGTAAGGCGTATCCCACTACATTTTTCAGAATACAGTTGGGCCAATAAGGGACTCAATGACAGGTTCACAAAGCACAACGATTTTCGAAACTCCTGTAGCAATGACTAAGTTTTGGCTCTGATACCATAAAGAAGTAATTGCTCTTGAAAAGCTTACCCATTTTTTTAATGACTTTAGCTTATATAGAGCCTTACAACATTTATAAATAAATCTCTAGAATTCTTCTATATACAAAGAGGACTCTATGTTAGATATAAATCTCAACAATCTTCAATTGGTAATTTTTCTTATTGAAGAGCCTGCATGATAGTGGACACAACCATTATTATATCACTTGTGATCAAATGAGTGTAATATTTTTTTCTGTACATTTGGTTTAGTTTCACTTCATATAGGAGAGTAGGTGTTTTGGATTTGACTTATGCTAAGAAATAGAGAGGTAGACCTAAAATGACTTGGGCATGTTGTGTAAAAAATGATTTTAATTTATTAGAATTAAATGAAAATATGATACTCAATACAACACAATAGAGAAAAAGGATTCATGTAGCTGAGCCCAAATGTTAGTTGTTGTTGTCGCTGGTTTAGTTTCAAGTCAAAATATCTGAAGTGATCTAATAATGCTTCATTTTTTTTTGTTGATACTGGAATATGGCTTGTATTTCAGCATTAATTTTTTATGTACCTTGTTAGCTTAATGATCTGTGCATTTGTTGTTGTATAGGGCGTTCCAATGTTATATGTTCCTCTTGAGGTTGTCATGTCAAAGTATTATGGTGAGAGTGAACGCTTGTTTGGAAATGTCTTTTCACTGGCCAATGATCTTCCTGATGGAGCGATAATTTTTCTGGATGAGGTACACACTATATTTATATCATTTATTTTGTACATTCCAGCTCTAGGGTGGCTATTGTACTTATAATCAATGGCCTACTTGTTACAATTTTTTGCATGCCATACCTTTAGAAATTGTGTCATGTTATTTCTTAAATCTCGACAAATATGATGTGAATGATTACGGGTTTGTTTGAGGCAGCTATCTCATTGTTTCGTTTTTTGACCACTGCCACACTTCTATCTTGTCACTATTTTTCTTATTATTTTTTAGACATTTTTATGATGGAAAGCTGATTTTTATAGTTATGGTTGTAAATAATGTTGCTCTTTGAATGTTTGAAAAAGAAAATAATTATAATGCTCACAACAATTTTTAAAAATTTATTTTTTCTACAATTTTCTTTATAAGGAGGTATAGCCGCCCCAAACAAACCAGTAGATCTTATTAGGTTTCTGCTCGTGTTCAATCTTGAAAGATCTTATGTTTAATGGTAGCCTTGAATGCCTTTCTATTTGCCTAATTTTTCTGATGGCCTATCTACTAACTTTCATGAAGGTTGATTCCTTTGCTGCTACCCGAGATAGTGAAATGCATGAAGCAACACGGAGGATATTATCAGTATTGCTACGGCAGGTAAGTTTCTTCAGTCTTTTGTCTCGTGAGTTCTCACCTGATCATCTGATGAACTAGTTGCTCATTTTGATTTTCTATTAGGTTTTGTTTGGGATCGTTTTTTTTTCTTTTGTTTTCAAAACCACATTTGTTTAATGTTCTTTCTAAATATTTTTATTTTTTGTTTTTAAAAATAAATTAACATATTTTAAAAAATAGTCAAAATAATTTTTAAGTGTTTTTAAAAATAAATTTACTTTAATCAAATAATCAAATATGTAGTTTAAAATCAAAACAAAATAAAAAAAATAAAAAATAAAAGTGATCCCAACCACCACTAAGGGCAGTTGATATGCATTGGACTTTGTGTAGTTTATTTTTGGGTTTGTGACCTTCTTCTTCCTAACCTTCCAAGTAAAATGCTATAATAATATATAATATATCCTTTCGAATTGACTGATTTGTGCCTCACTTACCATAGCTATTATATTCCTTGCTGAAGATATTTTTATTAAAAATGTGTGTTGTTTTTATATTCTCTGAAGATCCAGAGCCGACATATCTTTTAATATTCATTTTTTTTAAACAATAACGAAATCTTTTCAAGTAATCAGGCATTTTCTGTGCAGATTGATGGTTTTGAGCAGGAAAAGCGAGTTCTTGTTATAGCTGCAACAAATAGGAAGCAAGACCTAGACCCTGCTCTTATTAGGTAAATTTATCAGAATTCCTAAGGCTTTTAATTCTCTTATTGTGACTCAAGCAGCAAATGTAGATCTCCTGTTCAGTGTAATATATTAGATTAAACGCCCTGATATAGAGATTGTTTGTTCAGCCGCTTTGATTCAATTATTGACTTCTGCCTTCCTGATCACCAAACACGTGCTGAAATAGCAGCTCAGTATGCAAAACACCTAAAAGAATCTGAGTTAGTTCGATTTGCCTCAGTCACGGAAGAGTAAGTCTAACAATATTCATGTTTTTTCTATGTTGTATTTTTTATTAATTTTAATTAAGTTGCCTTATTCTCAGTTGCATGTATTTTTATAAACTTTATCTGCTATTTTTGTGAACCCTTCTTCCTCGTAAAGAAGGGTTCTATTTGAATCGAGTAAGCAAATGGAATAAGTTCTGTCAAATTTTTTTCTTGATTTCAAGCACTCGAACACCTCTAAATTCCTTTGAAGTTGATCACAGTGACGATTTGTACAACACATCATGAGCTGGTAGATAAATAGAATGTTTAGTTAAAATATACACATGTGAAACTTTAAAAATAATTGATTAACTTGTCAGATTGGTTAAACTTTTGTGCTATTGTTCCACCGGGACGCAGGAGATAAAACGCTGAGATTTCTGAATAATTAGAAATTGTTGCAGTTGCGAATTACCATCTTTAGAGTCCTTTTGGGTGGTCCGAGGCTGTAGCTGTTGTATGTGGTTATAGAACTGTTGTAATAAAAATAAATTTTTGAAATTAGTTGTGGGCATTATAAAATATTTTCTGCTTTTTATAAGTTGGATAAGTTTTTTATAGCTACCACACTTTTAAGTTGATTTCGTTGCAAACAATTACTTCTTATCATATAATTTTTGAAAAAAACAGCACAAAAAAAAAAAAAAAAGGTATTCAAACAATGTTGTTGTAGTTATCTAAAAAATAAAACTATGAAAAAACTGCCCCAAATAAACCTCTAAAATGATGTCTGAAATGTGACATTTAAATCCTTGAAATGGATGTGATTTTTGACAACTATCAAGCCTCATGGTCTGGCTTATGCAGATATCTCTACTATCTTGCACTTGCTACGACTATAGTCCTTTTGTCATCTTTTAGGGGCATTTGCATACATGACACACAAATCTTTTACATTTTCACTTACACCCATAGGACTCAAATTTTTAATATTAAATCTTTTTAAAAGTGAAATGCACCTTTTCATGCATGAGTTTAAAACACTGAAGTGCTATATATGTAAATATGAAGTTTTAGGTGTGAGATATCACTCTCCAAAAAAATGCCTCCAATCCTCTTTAGATGAAATGAAAAACATGAGGTAGGTTTTTAGGTTCTAAAAGCATGAGGTAGGTTTTTAGGTTATCTCCCATTTGAATTTTAGATGTGGAAATTAGAGGTTTGAAATTTGGAAACCATCTCTGTATAATGTAAGAGTAAGGAAACATCCTCTGCAACTCATGAACAATGATGCATTGGTTATCTTCTGTTGGGACTGTTTGGTAACATCTTTAGTAAATCCTATAAAACCAGATTTACTAAATCCTGCTATCACCAGGATATAATAAATTCGGGATTGAAGACAAAACTTAGAGAAATTGAAAAGAAATCACGAAATCCACTATTTATTTTTATATATTTTTTTCTGTCTAGTGTATTCAAGTTAAATCTCACTTAAAAATCCGTTACCAGACAGCCCCTTAGGTTGATAATTTTAATCATACATCTTTTTATATTCATAAAGGCATAGGCGGCGTTTGATAGCGTATTTTTTATAGAATTTAACCATAAATTTAACTTAAATCCAGCCAAACACCCCAAAAAAGAAAAAAATAATAATAAATCCATTGCTCCGTTAAATTCAATTTTCTCGATTTACGTCTTTCTCTCCCACACCCCGTTATTTTTATGACGTAAATATGGATGTAAATATGGATTTAGTAAATCTGATGGCGAGCTAAATTTATTCCGTAGTCGCTCGCGAGCTCTTCTATTGCAGCGTCGATTTGATAAATCCGGATTGATTTATCAGATTTGATAAATTCTATTTAACGTAAAACTTGCAGTCAAACACCGCCTTATTCCTGGTTTTCCTCCCTTGTGTTTAGCATGTCTGGGAGGGACATCAAAGATGTTTGCTTACAGGCAGAAAGACGTTGGGCCTCCAAGGTGTTTTCCTCGACACTCACCTCTTTCATTCCCCCAACACTTAGCCTTACAAGTGCTTCAGCTCAATTTTCTTAAATTATTTGATAGTTAATACGTGGCCAAGTAGACAAGGATGCCGCAGAAGCTTCTCTTCCTCCATTGGAAGAGTACATCAAATCAGCTAAGCAGCGGCAAGAAGCTGTATTAACCGCCCAAGATCGGAGTAAATCTTCGGCCTTCATGTGGAAGCCCAGGGCTCTTGCATGATACTGTGCTTTTTGGTTTTTTCTTTGCATAGTTTTTTTTTTAATTTTTTTTAGAAGAACAACAAGATAGATATGAAAATGATCAAATAGAAAAATACAGATATTATAATTATGACCTTTTGTTTATTAAAATATTTGAAATGGTATTTGCAATTGGTTCGTCAAATATCTTGCGTTTCATGGAACATATTATATCTGTGCACTTATTCGTGGCATAGTGGTTGAGGGTGTATTCTCCCACCGTGAGATCACGGGTTCGAATCACATATGTTGATATATTTCATAATGGTTTGCATTATGTGGTGACTAGCTTGGATAGTTTGCTACATGCAGCTTTTATCATTAGAAAATAAAATGTTCTTGATTTTTTAGAGAGATACTCATGTTTAGCTATAGTTTTTACTTTTTATAATTTTTTTAGGGGAACTTACATGCATAGCACCCAATTCTTATGTGTTTTACTTGTATTCACGCCCATACTTTTATTTTTATAACAAAAGCACTTTTACCTATGTATGAAAAGGTGTATTTCTACATAGGTAAAAAGTGCAATGTGGGATAAGTAAATGCATAGTAAATGGGTGCTTCATATGCAAAATTTTCAATCTTTTAATGAGTTGGACATGAAAGTTAAATATTATGTTCGGAGTCCAGACAACTGTTGTGAACCGCTAGAGGTGGTATTTTTTTCTCTTTTTTCTGTGAATTGCAGCCATTGTCCGGATGTAGCTTGCGTCTGCATAATATTTTTTTGTTGATATGAGGTGTGTTGGCGTAAGGCTTCGTGACTTTGATCCAATTCACCAATCACTAACATATCACTAACATAGTTGCATTTAAAGCCCCTCTCGGCCGACAAACAAACCTACAATTGAATTTTTTACCGGTCATTTTTAGCAGTGATGCAGCTATTTTTTTTTCAAAGAGTGGTTCAAAGTAAAATTTTTTAAAAAAATTTCTACAAGTTCTTTACAGGACTTGGTATTTTTTTTTAGCAGAGATAAAATATTTAATTTATAATTGCAAATTTTAATATTATAAACATGGCTAACTTAGTATTGGTTCTATTTAAAAATTTAGTTAATATAAGAAACATTTAAGTTTCATGAGAGTTAGGTCTAGTGAACAAGTAAAATCTCAAACTTAGTTTAATGAGAAATGCAACACATAAAGATTTAAAACAAAATCTCGTAAAGGACTAGGGAGAAACCCGACTGTATTTGACTCATAACTCTGCCTGGATAGGTCTGCCAGCTAAACCCATCTAGCGTCTTAAATCATGCACGCCTGGTCTTATAAAGTGCATGATATGATAGACTATTATTTATTAGAAAGAAGTAGATCTTACAACTTGATTATGAAAATACTGATGGTTGATTATGAATGGTATGCAAATGCATTTGGTTAATGCAAAACAAACTTTTACAATTTCAAATTTACAATTTTATTGTCCTGTTTAAACTAAAAGATTTTATTTGGTTCATGTTTTAGTCTCGTGTTGCGAGCAAGCTGTTTATGTGTACGCAATCCTTGATGATGTATGCATGGAAGATCAATCTTGAGGACAGGTTGAGTTTGCAAAGGTAGGCTCACTCTATAAGAGCGGTGATACTCATAGGTTAGATCTCCCACTTTTGTGTGATTAGTGAGGACTGAAAATAAGAAAAAAAAAAACTATAATTATGCATATACTTAAGGATGAAATTTTCGTATCTTATCTTAAATTAAGTGGTTACCAATCAATTTTATTTTATTGCATTTCATTTTTGATATGCCATGATATTTCTAAGGTGTGAATGCAATTATTTATTTTATTTCATTTTGATTATGAGTTTAATTTTGAAAATTTAAGTTAGAGCTATTCATGCGAGATAGAAAAATTAGTCCTTAAGAGCTCAATGAAAATGATCCAGGCTAAAAGAAAACACCACCAAAATACCTTAAAATGATCCAGGCTAAAAGAATCAATCTTGTAAGGAGTGAGATCAAATCCCCCGTATGAAATGTTCTGGACCAAACTAAATTATTGTGAGCTTTAACCATTCATGTCTGATAGAGTAGACAGTTTTGCTGAGCAAATGAACATGTCCCTTCTAGTCCATCAAGTTCTTCTGACCGCAACTGAATGTTTTGTTGCGGAGGGTTATTTAAATAATTAGCAATTTTTAATGAGGGGATTTGCATTTCCAAAAATGTTCTTGATTTTTTAGAGAGATACTCATGTTTAGCTTTAATTTTTACTTAAGAAATGGGTGCTGCATATGTAAAATTTTCAATCTTTTAATGAATTGGATATGAAAGTTAAATATTATGTTCGGAGTCCGGACAACTGTTGTGAACCTTTAGAGGTGGTATTTTTTTCTCTGTTCTTTCCTGTGAATCGCAGCCGTTGTCCGGATACAGCTTACGTCTGCATTATATTTTTTCGTTGATATGAGGTGTGTTGGCGTAAGGCTTCGTGACTTTGATCCAGTTCGCTAATCACTAACATATCACTAACATAGTTGCATTTAAAGCCCCTCTCGGCCGACAAACAAACCTACAATTGAATTTTTTACCGGTCATTTTTAACAGTGATGCAGCTATTTTTTTTTTTCAAAGAGTGGTTCAAAGTAAAATTTTTTAAAAAAATTTCTACAAGTTCTTTACAGGACTTGGTATTTTTTTTTAGCAGAGATAAAATATTTAATTTATAATTGCAAATTTTAATATTATAAACATGGCTAACTTAGTATTGGTTCTATTTAAAAATTTAGTTAATATAAGAAACATTTAAGTTTCATGAGAGTTAGGTCTAGTGAACAAGTAAAATCTCAAACTTAGTTTAATGAGAAATGCAACACATAAAGATTTAAAACAAAATCTCGTAAAGGACTAGGGAGAAACCCGACTGTATTTGACTCATAACTCTGCCTGGATAGGTCTGCCAGCTAAACCCATCTAGCGTCTTAAATCATGCACGCCTGGTCTTATAAAGTGCATGATATGATAGACTATTATTTATTAGAAAGAAGTAGATCTTACAACTTGATTATGAAAATACTGATGGTTGATTATGAATGGTATGCAAATGCATTTGGTTAATGCAAAACAAACTTTTACAATTTCAAATTTACAATTTTATTGTCCTGTTTAAACTAAAAGATTTTATTTGGTTCATGTTTTAGTCTCGTGTTGCGAGCAAGCTGTTTATGTGTACGCAATCCTTGATGATGTATGCATGGAAGATCAATCTTGAGGACAGGTTGAGTTTGCAAAGGTAGGCTCACTCTATAAGAGCGGTGATACTCATAGGTTAGATCTCCCACTTTTGTGTGATTAGTGAGGACTGAAAATAAGAAAAAAAAAAAACTATAATTATGCATATACTTAAGGATGAAATTTTCGTATCTTATCTTAAATTAAGTGGTTACCAATCAATTTTATTTTATTGCATTTCATTTTTGATATGCCATGATATTTCTAAGGTGTGAATGCAATTATTTATTTTATTTCATTTTGATTATGAGTTTAATTTTGAAAATTTAAGTTAGAGCTATTCATGCGAGATAGAAAAATTAGTCCTTAATAGCTCAATGAAAATGATCCAGGCTAAAAGAAAACACCACCAACAAACCTAAAAAGAGGTAATTTCTAAGCGGACTTAGACAAAAGTAAACATTGTATCACCAAAACGACATGAAACAAACAATCTAATAAAGTTGGGTGCAAAAATATACCATTGTGCACCCCGAAGGAAAATAAAATGGTGGGTGACCAAACAAACAACTTGTTGTGGTTCATCCTCACTCTAAAACCTTATAGATCTTACTTTAGATGGTCTAGATAGTTATAGTCGACCAACCAAGACAAACTCCCAATGCTATAACAAACTCATTAAGAGCACTCTACATTTATTATGGCATAAAATAAAACCCTATGCTTACTATGGCCCATACATGAGAATGTTAGTATTCATAAATAACAAAGAAAGCTTAATTGGAAATAAAAGACATTTAGACATAGTGTGTTAGATCACTTTGCTCAATTGCCAGATTGACATTGCGTGCAAGATTGAAAATGAGTTTTCTAACGAGCATTTATTATACAACAAGAATGATAAATGTCATCTAAAGCTTAATCACAATTTTAATATTTAAAAATTTATTCCTTAGTTAAAATTGATCGGTAGAGTTTTATTAGAGTCCTACAAGTAAAGTTTATTAATTTGAAATACCTTTATCCAGCGCTACACATGAAATTTCTTCAGGTAACATCTATTAATGGGGAGCATTAGACGTTCACCCTTATAGTCTACCAATTAATAAGAATCTCGCTGTTATACTCTCTCTATCATGAATGATCATTGCCACATTGGTTCAAACTTACTACATATATTTCGATGAGAAAGAATCAATCTTGTTAGGAGTGAGATCAAATCCCCCGTACGAAATGTTCTAGACCAGACTAAATTATTGTGAGCTTTAACCATTCATGTTTGATAGAGTAGACTGTTTTGCTGAGCAAATGAACATGTCTCTTCTAGTCCTTCAAGTTCTTCTGACCGCAACCGAATGTTTTGTTGTGGAGGGTTATTTAAACAATTAGCAATTTTTAATGAGGGGATTTGCATTTCCAAGGGAAGCACAACCTTAAACCCATAAACTAAGGCAAATGGGATGGATTGAGTTGGGCCTTGATATGTGGTTCGGTAATCCATAAAGCCTTCAGAAACTACTTCTGCCACTACCACTTATTGCTTTCAAGTATCTTCTTCAAGATCTAAGCTAAATTCTTGTTGAATGCTTCAACTAAATTGTTCGCTTGAGGATAATATATTGTTGAATACCTCCAATCAAGGTTGTGTTGCCTCATAAAGCTGTTTGTTTTGGCGCTTTAGAATGCGAGACCACAGACACCAAATGATATACGATATAGTTCTTGAAGAATTGCAATATATGGTGAGCTTTTACTTCTCTTAGAGAAATGACCTCCGCCCACTTCGAGAAGTATTCAGTCCCTCTCAGTATGAACATGTCCCTTAAATAAAGAGAGTCAATGGGTCCCATGATGTTAGTGCCCTAACATTTTAAGGTCCACCAGGAAGTATCATCATTTACATTGACATATTGGGTGGCACAACTATTAGTCAGGTGTCAGAAGTTCGAAAAAGAATCATACTATCAACCATAGAAGCGGAATATGTGACACTCACTAAAGCTAATAAGGAGATGATTTTCCTAAAGGGGTCCTGAAGAATTAATTTGATCATCACAATATGTCACTATTTTTGTAATAGCATAAGCACTATTCACTTAGTAAATAGCATTTTCTTCTTCTCAGACAAATCACATATAACTTAGGCATAACTATGTAAGTAGCCTACTTGAACCTCATGCCCTTAACATGTTCATAAAAAACGGCATCCACTAAATATTTAAGGCCTTATAAATTCTCAATTAATAAGGAACAAATAATACAGAGCAAATCATGTTCAAGTCACTCGGACATCATTATGGCTAAATTTCGAATTCAACCAGTTGAACTGAATTTATGAGTTACACCGTAAAATGCTATCGACAAGCTGCCGTTCCTCTACCCTCGTACATCATAATCAGTCCAGCATTGTTGTACCCGGTCCACCTTTGCCGCTGTACTCAATCCACCACAGCCGTATTTTTTATTGTCTCGCCATCGCAGCCACCAGACATCCGCCTCCGTCGACCGTCTGCTGCAGACATTCCAAAGCCATCGACAGTCTACTGCTTTCGCCTGCCACTTTCGGCTCCGTGCCGCTGCCGGGTCAAAAAATA